CAACAACAATGCTACAAGCTGACAAAACTATAGAACTATTTAAACAAAAAAATTGAATAAAGAATATTCTTCTCTACCATTAAAAGATAAAAGTAGCAGCAATGGGTAGTTCAAAAGTCATACTCTATATTTTTGCGTGTATTTTGAGAAGTTTTATTAGAACCAACTAGCATAAATAATTATGTGTCAATGTTATCATATTGTTAATGTAAAACTTGGACCAACTTATCCTGCATATCCTAATCAATAAAACAATAACGAAATTTCAAAATGCATAACTCCAATCCACATAGAAGCAATCCTTCACATTTTATATATAACAAAACTTTCATAAAGGGCCAAAGACTTTGGAGACTAACGTTTTGCTTGCTAGACTTGACACAACAATAAATAACAATATCAGATGAACTTTATTAATTAGAGTGGATTTTTTTTTCTTGTAAATACATGCAAATAGGGTTTGCCTACTCTTGTCTCTCTCAAGTGTGATACGATCTTCATTTAAACACCTCATTGCGAAAGGGCATGATCACTTTTGTTTACAATTTTCACATCCCGAAGACAAAGCAGTTCAAATAGCAAGGGATAAGCAACGCACTTTCTTCCACAGGTAGAGGCTGCCTGTACGGATTTAGCTGAATCTGCATAAGAGACCGAGATATTTCAAATTTATATATTTCCTGTTAAAAGACTACTGACTACTCAGCATAAAGAAGAAATGGAACGTACTGGAATTGTAGGAGTACATCCTGTTGCTGAATTTATGGAACAAGTTGCCATATGAGAAGCTTCTTCACAGTAATCAGAAAAAACTGCTGGAACTTTAATCTCCTTTATTAGCTCCTTAAGTGAAAAATATAATTGAAAGAACAACACCATCTAGTTTTTTGTAATGATCCATAAGCAGAAGCTAATTTTAAGTTAAAAGTCTCCCTCCCCACGAATAAAAAAGGAGAAAAAGAGAAAACGCTAGACTGTGTGGAGCCTAATTAGGTTGCCCTAATATTTCTGCTATGTAAAGAATTTGTTAGGGCGTTTTCTTATTGTGCAAGAGAAGATGTGTGAGGAAATGTGTATTCATTTTCTCCATTGTAGTGAAAATATGCAGCTGTGGGTGGGCGTAGTTCTCACATTCAAGATGAACCAGCGTGTGCTTTATTTGTTTTATTATTGCTTTTCGGATTATTGCTCTCAAAAGTATGGATTAGGGTCTAATCCATAACCGAAGAGACCAAGAGGAAAGGGAGGAAGATGGGGGTAAGAATTGTAAACTCGCAATTGTTGGTAACCCGCTTGTATAGGCAGCAATACCAGCATTTGAAGCTATAATTAGATCGGCGGAAAATCCTGCATGAAGCTGTAATATGACTGCAGATGAGTCACACTCGAGTACATTTTGGCTAAGATTCACAACAGAATCGTTGCACTGACAATCTATATGGCTACATTTAGCATAATTGTAAACATTGATTTTCTCATCATCCCTGGTCGTGAAATTCTTATAACATGTAACCGATAAAACTATCAATAAGAAATTGCCAACAGCAACAGACAAGGAATTAACAAGAAAAACATGTTTTTTAGATGTTTATTTGATTTTTCCAAATCCTGGAGAACTTTTATAATTTATATTATTCATAAAGCAAAAGCTGAGACAAGTGCTACAAATCTTCATATATGACGTTTTCTTTTATATTCACTTTCCATTTCAACATTTTTTCCTCCAAGAGTGGAAGGGTGGAAAGGAATGGAAAAGAATCATCCCTAACACCAAATTTAAGCATAGTGTATTAAATATTGAAAAATAACATACCAAATTGAATTTGCCAGTGATTTAAGGTAACATTGGTTGAGACATGAGAAAATGTGAAAAGAACTGATGATTGAATTAAGTAAAATGTGATTCCCAAGATTAAAAAAAAAAGAACACAAACTATGGGTTCATGATTCTGTTTGGCTACAACGTCAACCAAGTAAACTTATAAAATGAATTTTTGGGAAAAATTATAAGTTTTTGAAATTAAAAATGGATAGAAATGAGTGGTGGATGAGTGGGGATAGAACTTGTGGGTCCAATAAAATGTGTGGTTAAAATTAAAGTTTAATTTTGACTTTAAATTTATAAGGACATTATAATGCAAAATAAACAAGCACTAAAACAAATGAGTAAATAAGCATCTACATTGGAACTGACCTATGAGGTGGAATTGCAGGTCCAACAAGGTCTATCAGCACTTGAATTCCAGGAAAAAGTGCATACAATTCTCCAAAGACAGAAAGTTGCTCTTTCTTTGGGTCTTCAACAATTCAATTCATGAACAGAAGCCCAACTCAATACCAGAAGAACTTGTTTTTTTTCGTAAGAAATTGGATCAACAAGGAGAAAAAGAGCATTTAACTACGGATAAGATTGAGAGAGGTGGAATGCCGATACCAATCTCAAAATGTAATCATTAACATGATTCTCTATCGGCCTTACAAGTTGAATACATTTCAGATGCAAGTTTTATTCACATGTTAACTATAAATGATTTCGTAATTTCCACTCTCCTTTTTGCCCGAAGTACTTTTGTTATACGTATCAGAAATTTAAATAAAAGATATACAGAAGTTCACTAGGCACATCAGATTGCCAACTCCAGTTCAAGTCAAGATATTTGTGCCTCTTCATATTTAAAGCAATTTCATCAAAATCAAGGCAAAGAGTCTCTATAATCACGTCGAAAATTAGAAGTTCTCTTTAGGCAAAACTATAATGCTATCAATAAATGAACAACCCAACATGTTCATAAAATGCTTTAAATTTACACGCACCCATAGCTACAGAATCATGTGGCTGTGAGACTGAGATTACCACAATTCCATAAGTAGCATATGTCTTGAATTTGTGGAATAAGAAGGGTCTTGACCAAGAACAAACTAAATTTTGGAACAGAACTGCTCCTAGGTAATGTATGCGCAGTTCATTGCTAATTGCAGGAATCAAGCTTTTAAGAGTTGCATGCCAAATAGCCCAGTGTATTGTGAGTGGCTGGAACAACAAATAACAAAAACAGTACTTACAGCCTGCAATCATTTTTACCAAAATATACATGCAAAATTTGCAGGAAAATATATTTTACCACAGCTTGATAAATATCGAAAGTTGATAGTTTTCTCAGAAGCTTTAGAGAGCTCCTTATTCATGAATTTAAGTCAACAAAATGTAAAATAGAGTGTATGTATGCATAACTGAATATATGACAAAATTGAAGGTTATACAAAGACCACTTTTTATAGATTCTCACACATTAATAAATAACATACCAAGCGAAGAAGTAAAGCAGCAGGAGAACAAATTGGGATGCACCTCCATTCATAGTAGTCCTTCCAACTTTTTAGTTCAGGTACTGGAGAGGAAGGCCCTGCATGATTACTCTATTGTTGTAATTATTGTTCCTGGGATGTATTCGGCCGAACAAAATCAGTGTTAGAAATAATAATACCTTTACAAGGGCACAATGCACTCAAGAGATTCCAACCTTCAAGCAAACTACCAGAAATCTATAAGCAGCGTGACCAAAAAATCCCAAACTTACATATCTAAACATGTATTGAAACAATAAGCTTACTCAAACATGCTTATGGCACAAACCATTCCAGCAATAATAGCATTGGATTGGAAAAATTAGCAAAAAAATACCTTGATTGATCGAAAGGAATAGACCATCCCTCAGAACTACATTCAGGCATCCCACATTCCTGTAAGGTGACAATGAACAACGCACCTCTCGCTTTTCACACCCCCAACCGAAAATGAACAAAATTTCTCCCAAATAAGCTCCTGAGCATCACTTGATTAAAATATACTTGAGTAAATGTGAAAGGGAAATCACTCAAGCCATGAGCACGCTTCATTTACTGTTGTAATCTTTCATACTCTTTTTTTATGCACACTCCAGTGTGAAACCTGTAAACAAATTATACTATTTAATCGACAAAGAAATTAAATATATATTGCTAACTACAGGAAAAGAAAAAAGAATCTAATGAGTAGAGTGGCTTAGCATAAGATGAACGCATCATTTCTCTATATTTGGAACGGACCTCAGGACCTGGTGAGAAATGGAGCAATAGGCAACGAATCGGCAGAGACTGCAGCGTCTGGTGGCCGGGCCGGAGCATGTTGTTCGGCTTCCCCTTCCGGTGCACTCCATTTTTTCCTTGGATGACAGGCGCGCGAGGTGGAAGAACGCATTTATCATCTTTCACGGGAGTATAGTTTTCATCCGGATTCATTGAACTTTCAGTAAAATTTCAATTTGGTCGCTAAACTTTAATGTATCTTAATTGGACCACTAAACTTTAATATAATTTCAAATTTCAACATTTTGTGATACTGTAATTGATTTTTCACTGTGGCACACTACATAATGTCTTAGATTTATAAATGTTAAGCAGATGTATTTTTTACTTTAACAATTTTACGACGATGTAGTCATAAAGTGTCATATCACGTAACGATTACTTGAGTAATCTATTGCTGTATAACTACTAAGTTACGAGTGATGAAATTTAAAGTACGAAATTGTCGTCAACTAATGTCCAATACCTCTACTTTACGAAGCGTCACTTTAATTTCTATTAGGGTAAAAGATTATAGGCATCCCTTTCCATCAATGAGGCACTGAAAAATTCCAAATTTTCAGAAACATTTTCCCACGATGCACACGTTAAATGGAAGTACTTTCAAGGGGGGAAAACTGGCTGAAAATCTGCTTCCTACCATAAATTGCAAATTACAGAACATTATAATATGATGTTGTTATCTTTTTTGTTCCTTCATCCTCTCAAGAAAAACATATACAAGATCAAGGACTCGATGCCTTTCCCGCAAATATCTTTAGAAAGACAGCAGCTGAGCAAACCCCAAATGGAAGAATTGACGTAGACTTAATTCCCGAATGACACAGCAACTCTTCTCTTGCAACATAACTGCAACCAGGAACTACAAACAGGGTTCACAAGAAGTAATCCGGAGTCTTGCGAGTTGTGTCGGGTTCAATCTGCCGAGGAGCCGGGTCGAATTGGAGGAAATTCTGCTCCATATTCTCCCCAATTTCGAGTATTGCAGCCATGTTTCCACAGCGGTAACAATAGTTTGGAGCACTGAAAACTGTGACCACATTCTTCTCCTATGATATAAAATGAGCATAATCGTTAATTCTATGTAGAGAAAACAGAATAGTTGGTCCCTAATCCATTGTTCAAGTAGCAAGTCGGTTGGTCATAGACAGTTGCACAATAAACCCCCAACAAAAATACTCCACGCCTTCGTTAAATCATCACCTGTCCCTCGTGGAAACATGCCTAAAATTTCTGGGTCAAGTTGGAAACGAAATCTAGCTTCATAAAATTTGGATGTTCCCGTTGCAGGAGACTGATTGTGCAACTATAACACGAGGTTGTGTACCAACTTGTTACTCGGGCAATTGGTGGGAGACCAATACTGCAATTTTCTTATACGTGAAGTAATCTTTGAGCTGGGAAAGAGGAAGCGACGTGATGCATTCAGTTGATATAAATTCACAAACCTGACACCAATTGAAGCCCTCCATGACAAGCTGGTGGGCTCTTGAAATCAGAGTGAGGCCATTGGTATGGTTAAACTGAGCAGCTATATCCTGTCCAAATGTGTAGCCAGCCCCACGTGGTGATATTCCCCATCCACATCGGTCATCGGGATCAGACCACAGGAGATCGCACATTGGTCCTTCATGTGGAACCTATCAATTCACCAACAAACATGTTGATATGCGAGTTTGTGAACAAAACAGTTCAACCCCAATTTATCTTGTTTGTCGGAAAAATTTCATTCCACCAAACTTCTAATGTCAAACCCACATTATGGAGCAGATAAAATACACAAATAGAGAGATATAGTGAACAAAAGCATGATGAGGTTAAAAGCAGCAGAGATGGCTTAAAAAGGCAAGTTGATTCCATTTGAACGCAAACCTATATAATGGAAGACGACGTACTCTTATTAGTGAATGGAAAGCAATGGAAGGCTTCAGCTGAAGAAGATAAAACATTTTGAATCTTCTTTAGTTTCTAAGCAGAAAAAAGAGAAGGATTTTGCCATTGTTGGATTTGGTCCCGATTCTGTGTTGGGCTGTTTTTACTTCTTGTTTACTTATGGTTTCCGGGTTCTGGCACTTATACTAAAACCGTGTTTTTGTAAACACGATTTTGGCTGTTGGAATTTTTTGATCTAGACCCTCATTTGATGCAATTGTGACCGTTTGATCTGTGGTTTTTACCCAAGTATAAATAGGCATCTGTCCTGTGCTTCGTGTATTTTCTGAGTGTCGTTATTAGGGTTTTCTCATCTGATTCTTTTTCTGTAATTTTTGAGGTGTTTTCTCTGTAAATCTTTAGGGTTTTGATTATGATTGTTTCAAGTACACAATCTGCAAGAGAAATTATACAGATTACTAGAGCTTTGTGTTGAAAAAGAGAGGCGAAAGGAAACTTCTTCAGATATTTGTACTATTTCTATTTCTTGACGAATTGATAGTAGAATTGAGCATTACTTGTAGATGCTCAACAGGTGAGTAGGCCGAAGGCTGAACATTCGG